GCTGTTCCAGGGGGGGGGGGGGGGGGTGTGCATTGAAGAACCTGGCCTGGGGCAGCAGAGAGAGTAAATCCGGCCCTGCCTGTGGCTATCAGTCTTGCAATGTCTTATGGGATTTGTAGTTGCACCCCAATTGGAGGGCTGGGGTTTGCTTACCTCCTGCTTTAGGTAATTGTCGTTCAGTTCGGGTTTACAGCTATTTTCATAAACCTGAGACAGTGGTGTCAAAGTCTATCATCCCATGCAATGCTGCGTCCTCCTTATTTTGTATCTTTCTTCATCTTGTCTTTCAGGGAAGTGTGCAGTGCAGATCCTCCCGGGCGTGTCCACCAAAGGCCTGTGTGCCGACGACGTTCCTGAACTTGCCGACAAAGTCCGAGGGATGATGCTTGAGACTTTTACCGAAATCTCAAATGAGCGCACAGGAAAAGAACCTGGCGGTGGATATTGATCCCCCTTCTACCATCATTTTATTGTCATCGTTGGCCAGGGAACACCCCCCATACCGGAGACACCAGGAGGAAGGACCCGTCTAGAGGAAGAGGAGAGAGAGCAAAAACCATTTCAAAACAAAACCTGCAATAATAAAAACAAAAACATTTGCTGCCTCAAACAGATGAATTCGGTCAACGAAGGAGAACACAAGAGGAACTTCACTGCTACCACTATAGGAAGAGCAGCACGGAGCTGGATCATCCCTACTATTGCCATCATGCAAAGAAAGCATAGGCAATGCCATTCCGCAACACGGCCTGTGCAAATGTAGGCTCGAAAAACAGAAATTCCATTTTGGTAAAATGTTACAGAACGATGTAAAAGACAGCGGATAGAATGATAGGTCAACACTTCACATAGAGGGCACGGAGTCAGGAATGTCAATGGGCAAAGTTTAAAGCGGACCTTACATTTCATTAAATAACAAATGACTGTACATATATTCAATTTCAGCTTTATATAACTATATAGCGGACATTACTTCATTTATATTCCTGGCACGTTCCTGTGTCATAGAGCATTCTGGAGGAACCATCTTTGTGTAACCTCGATCAACACCTGGAGAGCTTAGTTTCTGACTCCCCTTGTGGGACATCAGACGTACACGGTGATCTCTGCAGCTCGGCTGTGGAGAAGGCAGATTGCTGAGGTCACATGACCAGGACAGCAGGAACCCTGGCTGTTGGCATAGAACCCCATGCCAGTGGTTGAGGGAGGGGGGGGTGGGGAGGGCGCGCATTATTTGCACTTTAGATACTTAACATGTCACCTACATTACACAGCCTGGGGCAATGTATATTATAACGTTAGAATGTAATTTTTTGTTATGCAAGGTTCGCTTTAAAGGGGCTGATGAAGGCTGCAAAAAATGTAAAGGAGAATGTTGTAGCAGTCGGGTAGGCTGCAGACAAAATAAGGCAATCCTTGAAATATCCTCATCCTGAAGACGGAAGAGCTTTCGGGGTCATTGAAAAGAAGCATGCGTTTACCCAGATGTGATCTGACCAATGGCGTACCGGAACTCCACCATGTCTGGCTGGGAGTTGAGATGGCAAAGGAAAGCTGTTCAGTTAACATTCCATTTCTTGGAAGGAGATTGGGGGGGTTCTTCAGTACAACAGAGTGGGTCTCTTTATTTATGAGGGGGTGCCTTAAATCTGTATATTTATTTATTTATAGGATGCAACTACTTGTCTCTCCAGCTCTTTTCTTGGCAGCTTTTCACAGTCTCCTCCTCCGCCGACGGCCTTCTCTCTCTCTCTCTCTCTCTCTCTTTCCTTTTCTCTTTCGGTTTCAAGCAACTGTTGCCAGGAATTGGAAAGGTTTAGTTACTTAGGGTACGAAAACCCGGCATTGCCCTAACTAACTGCCCTGTATGGCCTTCCAGAAAACAACATGGACTTGACGTGGGGGGGTGCAAGAACCATGGAACTGCTCTGCCCAACTTGTGGCCTCTTCCCCAGGAAGCCTTCCCATCTCCTCCAAGCTCTCGTCACTCCACAACCACCGACCTGCAGCTTTTTTTGCCTCTTCCCAGTTTCTTGTTTTTGTGTCCTGAGATTTTCCACGTTTTTTATTTTCTTTTGTTACACTCCAGCCACCTCGAGCCCTTCTTTGTGTCCATATTTGCCTCCCCCCTTTCTACGCCTTTCTTGTGTACTAGTGTGAGGCGTGGAAGAACTACATGTGCCAATGTGTTCGTAACTGTGGATTAGGGGGAAGAGGATGTTATGTGGGTATGACGTGGGTTGGGGTGTTACGTGGGCGGGAGGGGGCATATTAATCTCCTGTCCTGTAAATGTGAAGTAGCATTGCACAAATTTTTCTGGTTCCTCTGCGTCCTGTGTCTTATTTCCGCCAGCGTTTGGTGACATGTAGACAGTGGAAGTATCTACTGAGCAGAATGCGTGTGCTGGATGGTGGGAGTGTGACTGCGTTTGAAGAAGAACTCCAGGAATTTTAAAAATGTACCCTTAACCACTTCCTGCCCGGAGCAATTTCTTACTCTTTCTGCACACAGATGATAAAATCCGATTTTTGGCTAGAACACAGCTTCAGACCCCCAAACAATGATATATGTTCTGAAAGCAGAGGCCATGTAGAATACAAAAATGCTAGTTGTAATTTTTTTTTATGCGCAAATGTTTATCAAACCAGTATTTTTAGGATAAATTACACTAAAATGAAATTTAGTGCACAGAAACAATGTAATACCCAATTTTTTTGGGTAAAATATAAAAGACTGGGTCACGTCGGGTAAATAGACACCAAATATGTCAAACCTTAAAATTGCGTGGGACCGCAAAAAGCCACAATATCCAAAATTTCCCATGGGTGCTTTAAAAGCTTTTACCGCTCATCAGTTTAGTGCTAACAGTGATTGATGGCTCTAGAATAATTGCTCTCACTCCGACGTGGTGACATGTGGCACAATTTTTGTTTTTACACGGATGTGCACCCGACGCATGTTTGTGTTGCATGTGGGGGGCGGGGACTTTAAACATTTTATTTTTGTTCCATTTTTTTTACACAACTTTATTGCTATCACATAGAGGGCTAAGAAGCTCCCTATGTAATAGCAGATAGGATGTGACAGGTCCTCTTTATGGTCTTTTAGGCCCCTAATGTCACCTAGTGACCCCAAAGATTTGCTTTTACCAGCTTCTTCTTCTGGCTCTAAGAGCCGGAGAATGTTCCCAGTGACACCGGAAGTGATGTAATGCACATCACTTAAGGGTCCAGTGATCAGAGGCTGGAAGCCTGCTGATCCCTCTCCGATCAGTCAGGGGAGACCCACCATGCCGGTCTTGGGCCCGCACGGTGGACAGCGGAGGGCACACAGCGCAGCACCTTACAAGTGATCTGATTTGTTGTTTAAATACAAGCAATCTGACGGCTGTCCAGCAATCGCCTGCTGATTAAAAGGATACCAAGAACATGGCTGCGGGAGCTTGGTTTAAGCGCTTGAGGCCAGGATGTTTTTTTTTTACAATGGGTGGTCCTGAAGCAGTTAAAGTGCGGCTCCCCACTGCACTGCAAGGGTTAAGTGCTCGTTTTGTCTAGCCGTGTCAAAAAAAAGATATAGTTACAAGATCCTTGGTTTCTCCGGGCTGGTACAGCGGTGCCTGCAGCCTCTTCTTTCCCGGGCTCTGGTGGTCTAAGGACCGCTGACGTCATCATGTCTGAGGCAGGTCCATTGCCTTGCATTAGACACGAGGATGCGGAGTGACATTCCATAGCCGGGGAAGAGAGGTAAGCATTGACTAAGGATCAGGTGCGCATATCTACTCCCCTAGACAAAGAGCACTTAACCCCTTGCAGTGTTGGGGTAAGCTCCATTGCAGGGGTAAGTTTTTTAAATTCCTTGAGTTCTTTTTTTTTTAAGGAAATCTGTCCAACAAAATGGAGGCTGCTAATGCTGACCTCATGCAAATGATAACAGGAGTCATGTGCAGACCTATTCTATGCAGAGCTGAAGCCAAAACCTTTTTAGTTATAGATCCAGTAAAAGAGGGTTATAACCCCTATCCATTTTATTTTTTTTTGCCATCTGTGTCTCATGGGGGTGATTCACTTCACTTCCTATCTGTCATCCCCAACAAGAAGTAAGAGAAAATGCCTCAGGGGGGCGTGGCTTGCAATCATCGCAAGTACGATCTGCATGTCCAAGATAGGCAGATCGTACGTTTTTGCTGGGCACACACCTTACAACCCTCGCAAGACTTTTGTCTTGCGAGGGTTGGAAGGTAATTAAAAAAAAACGTACGCTCTGCCTATCTTGGACATGCAGATCGTACTTGCGATGATCGCAAGCCACGCCCCCCTGAGGCTGTGACCACTTGCTGTGACCTGTTTGAGAGAATTGCTCCCCCCCAATGCAGGTTTTCTTTAATGCCCAACTGCACATGCCCAACCTTGCTTCACTCCCTGCCCCCCCCATTCAGCCATCAGCATCCAAGAGCTTACCTAGTAATTTCAGGTATGGAGTAACATACCCAGAACGAGTACCGGTACTGTCACCTAGGGAGGGTCCATTCTCCACGCAGATCTTCCATTTGCATTCCATGTTCCATTTGCTGCAGCAGGAGTTGTCCCCCCGTGAACTTCACTTCCCTTCACTTGACCTGGTGAAGCCAATCTCTAGGACACATAGTGAAGGTGAAATCCCCTGAGGTCAGGAGTCATGTCACCTGTTACAGACCTCGTCCCCATTCTAAGGGCTCTGTCCAATCACATTAGAGGGGATTTATCAAAATCTGGAGCAGCTGTACATGGCAACCAATCAGCTTCTCTCTTCAGTTTGCTGAGTTAAGATTTGAAAATGAAAGAGAACCTGATTGGTTGCCGTGCACAGCTGCTCCAGATGTCTGCTTCAGTTTTGATAAATCTCCCCCATTGTGTTTTGTGAGTTGGTATGATATGCTGCAGTTCCCCGTGAATGGGACCTCGACCCCCTATAAAATGTATGGTAGGTGCGTGCTGCTGTTCTGCACAAGACCTGGTTATTATTTATTACAGGTATTTATACAGCGCTGACAATTTACGCAGCACTTTACATAGTTGCACATTTACATCAGTCCCTACCCTTTAGGGAGCTTATAATGTAAGGTCCCTACCTCACATGCATACATAGAGGGCCAACTTAGAGAGGAGCCAATTAATCTACCAGCATGTTTTTTCATGCATTGAGGTGCATTGCGCCCCATTCATTTTAAATGGGCTGCCTAATGCAGAGCCCCTCCATGAGCGTCAACTAATAAAAAATCATGCACTTCAATGCACTGCTTTCTGGTGTAAATGGGCCCAGGGCCATAGCTAGGGCGGGGCAACTGAGGCACTCTCCTCATGCGTGGGGGGGTCCAGCCAGGGCTCAGCACGGCTGGGGGGGGCACAGCCTGCAGCTTCTCTGGATCCCTGCTGATCTCCCCTGCCTGTATGGGAAGAGGCAGCGGGGATCCGCTGAAGGCGGGTGGAGGGAGCTGTCACGTTAGGATGGCCAAGTGGTGAAGAGAGAGAGAGCCACTGTCAGATCCTGGCTCTCGCTCCTCACTGCTCAGCCATCCTGAAGTGACAACTCCCTCC